TTTTTTTTTTTCCTTTTTTGAGACAGGATCTCACTCTGTTGCCAGGCTGGAGTGCAGTTGGCAGAATCACAGCTCAGTGCGACCTGGACCTCCCAAGGCTGAGGTGATTCTCCTGCCTGAGCCCCAAGTAGCTGGGACCTACAGGGAGAACCATTATTCTCAGCTCTTTTTGTATTTTTAGTTAGAGATGAGGTTTTGCCACATTGCATAGGCTGGTCTGGAATTCCTCAGCTTAGTGAAACACTTCCTTGCCTCCAAGTATTGGGATTACAGGCGTGAGCCACTGCACCCAGGCTGAGTTTCTTAATTTTAATAAAATTATACTTGATCAATCTTTTCCTTTATAGTGACTGCTTTTTGTGTCCTGTTTAAGAAATCAATGCCTAACGTAAGAATATGAACACATCTGTGTTAGCCTTATAGCAATTTTATTTTAGTTTATGCATTTATTTTTCAGACAGGGTCTCACTCTGCTGCCCAGCCTGGAGTGTGGTGGCATGATCTCAGCTCACTGCAGCCTCTACCTCTGGCTCAAGTGATCCTCTCACCTCAGCCTCCTGAGTAGCTGTGACTATAGCATGTGCCACCGTTGTCTGGCTAATTTTTGTATTTTATGTAGAGATGACGATTCAACATGTTTCCCAGGTTGGTCTTGAACTTGGGCTCAAATAGTCTGCCTGCTTCAGCCTCCCAGAGTGCTGGGATTACAGGTGTGAGCCACTGCACCTGGTCATGATTCACTTTTTACTACATGATGTGACTGCTTGATCCAGCACCATGTATTGAAAAGACCATCCTTGCCCTTCTGTACTGTTGGGCACTTTTTTTCCATAAATTGGATGGCTGTATGATCATCTGATTTATGAAGTTAGTGTGTTCTGTTTCTGGGCCAACCTGGGCAACATAGTGAGATCCCATCTCTTACAAAAAAATAATATAAATAAATAAATGATTGTAAAATGTGGGTAGAGCCGATGGAGTCATAGTTGGTAATTTATAAATGATTGTGAATTTCTTGGCTATATACAGGTGTTGGTAATTCAGATCTGTTGGACGTTCAGGCAAAATGTTAAGTGAATTATATGGTGTTGAGAATGATTGCTAGATGTTCATTGTGTCTTGAATTAGATGTTATTTGGGCCTACAGAGCTACAGTTTTGACTCTTTATTTATTTGTCTTTTTAAAATGTTTACAATCTTCCTGTCAAGGCAGTAACTCTTTTCTACTTAATTGTTCTTATGTCCTTAATTACCAGGAAAACTTTAGGGATCATACCTAAACAAGTGTTAAGCCATTTAAGGGCTGATGTGATGTGATGTAGACAATAGTATTCTACATAATAGTTTCAGGACTACATCTGTTAAATTGTTTCTTTTCCCTTAATTTTTTTTTCTCTTGAGACAGGGTCTGGCTGTGTCGCCCAGGCTGGAGTGCAGTGGTGCAGTGGTCTGATCATGGCTCACTAGCTTTGAGCTCTCAGGCTTAAGCAGTCCTCCCACCTCAGCCTCCTTAGTAGCTGGACTACAGGCATGCACCACCAGGCCCGGCTCTTTTTTGATTTTTGTACACAGGGTCTTCCTTCCTATGGTGCCCAGACTGGTTTCAAACTCCTGGACTGAATGATCCTCCCACCTTGGCATCCCAAAGTGTTGGGTTACAGTTGTGAGCCATCACACCTGGCCATTTTAGTTTAATAATATCTATATATTTCTAGTTTAAAATATTTACTAAGATCTGTTAATTTATGAATATGGTATTCATTATTGTTATGATTATTTTGCATGTGTTTAATTTCATTTTCAGTATATGCTCTTGGAAATTGGAAATCTTATCCCTTATTCACTACTGTATTCTCAGTACTTGACCTTGCCTGGTATGAAACAGGATATTGATGAATATTTGTTAGATGAATGAATGAATATACTGATACCACATTCAACAATTGTCCAAGTATCACAGCTTGCACCGTCTACAAATCAAATAGCTTGTATAGAGCAGAGCCACAGTCAACCTGCCACAAAAGGAAATGTCAGTGAAAATCCACCTTTGTATGTGTAGCTGCTGAGATTCGGGGCTTTGTTACTGCAGCATGAACTAGCAAAGCTCAGTGAGACAGCAGATAGAATATCCATGTATAAATAGACCAGACAGAGCAGGAGATGAGCTCCAAAGATAGTTCAATCAGCATTAACTAACCACACCCACACTCTCCTCCTAACAGAGAGAAAGGATTCCTGTTCACTGAGATCTGCCTCAAATAGTACTTTGTGAAAAGTAAGCACTTTCTCTGGCTACTCAAGCAATCAGTCAGGACTCTTTTTCCTGCCCCCCAGGGTGGAGTGTGATGGTGCCATCCTAGCTACTGTAACCTCTAACTCAAGGCTCAAGGAATCCTCCTGCCTCAGCCTCCAGAGTAGCTGAGACTACAAGTATGGCCACCATGCTCGGCTGATTTTAATTTTTTATTTTCAGAGACAGGGACTTACTGTGTTTCCCAGGCTGCTCAGGACTGTTGATTACATATGACAGAAACCACTCTAGTTCCTGCCCCCTTTCAATCTGCTCCTTTCTCCCTCTTCCCAGCCTTCATAAGTGGCGGTTCCATCCTTCAAGTTGCCCAAGTGCTGAATCTCAATGTTAACCTTGATTTCTGTCTATTATGTCATAGCCAATATGAAGGCAAAGCATGTCCAGACCCAGGCGAAGGTTCCTGCTGACCCAGGCTCTCACCGGCACGTTGTCCTTTACTGTCCTCCTGAGGGTGTCTGGAGCTTCAGTGCTGTGTGCTCTCGGGCTCCAGCTGGAGCACCACCGACTCCCGCTGTCCTGGACTTGCAGTGGAGCTCTCCGAGGCACTGATGTAGGAATCTTCCCCATTCGCGGCACCAAGAGCAGCCTCACATGGTGTGGGCTGACATGAAGAGCTGCCAGATCCAACAGGTAAAAATCATGAGGTCAGAGAGTCCTCTCTCTATTATGACTCAAATAAAAAAGAAGATGCCATGGACCCTAAACATCGCAGCATGACCAGCGTGGCCAGCACGACCTGCAGCGCGTGATCAGGTGGAAGTTATTTGACTTCAGGAGAGGACAGTGTTCTCTTCAGGCCTTTTCCTCAGTGGCTGGATCTGCGTTCCTCTCCTCTCTCTTCCCCTCTCACCCCCAGTCTCCCATCCCCATTTCTCTCTCTCTTTCCACCTGCTTCTCCTCTTCAGCTTTCATGTTTCTCCCGGTCCACCCGCATTTCCCAGGCTAAGGCCCCTGCACCATCCTGGGTGGGGAGATGTGTGTGGATTTAGGCGGTGCCCTCTAGATGTGTCCAGGATGGGGAAACGTGGCTCAGCTGCCAGTATAATGGTTCAGAGAGTGGCCACTTTTGAAGGCCTTTCACAGCTCCCCATCCTAGAATTGTGTAGACTTAAAACTATGGGCCACAGTGGAATTCTTGGTTCCTCAGGACCTGGTGGTGGACACCTTCTTTCACTGAGCATTCAAAGGGTGGCTATTAGGTGCCAGGCCCTGTTCTGGGCTAGGGGCACCATAATGAGTAAATATCAGGTCACTACCTCATGGAATTCACCACTGCAGGCATCAAGAGGGGGAAGAAAGAAAGTGGTGTGGCCTGTTTGTGTCCTTCTCATGTGGTCCCTGCCAGGTCCTGGGGGAGTGGGAGCCAGTGCAAGGAGAGAAGCCCAGTGAGCAAGGCAAAGGGATGATGTCAGACCCAGGGGCTGAGACCCCCACCTGCAGCCAGGCAGCTTCCTGGGGTGGACAAGGAGTAGCAGGGAAGGTCATGGCCTGGTGTTCTGGGGTCCACTGTCCCATCTCATTCCTGTGGGTGCCAGAAGTTGTCCAAAGGGAGGACTCAGTGTCCACTGGAAACAGCAGGCCAGAGACAGAATGTATTTCAGAAAAGGGAAGGAATTGTACATCATGGTAACAATATGATTTTATAGTAGTGCGTGTCTCTCTAATAACTAGTTAGCATGTTCTGTTAATGGAAAATATTGGTGGGTAAGTTTCTCTGGATCTTCTCATCATTGTGTAAGTTCATTTGTTCTCCCCTCCCTCCCCTCTTCCTCCCTCCACTCCTTCCTTTCTCCCCTTCTTCCTTCTTTCCTTCTTTCCTTCCTGCCTCCCTCCCTCCCCTCCTTCCTTCCTTCTTTCCTTTCATGCCTGTTTTCTTTTCTTTCTTCCTTCCTTCCTTCCTCCCTCCCTCCCTGCCTTCCATCCTTCTCTTTTCTTTTTCTTTTCTCTCTCTTTCTTTTTAAAACTTTTTGAATAGACCACACTGTACTGAAACCCACATTATTTACCAAAATCTCTGGAGCTGCTTCTGTCTTTCAGGCAGGGAAGTCATCCCATATCCCTCAGCCCCTCCCAGCCTCCTTCTCTTTTGATTTGTGGGTGCCCCTGGGGCAGCTGCTGAGTCTCACGTGTTTGTAGTCTTCATCATTAGTGCTGCCCACCTGGATGGTTTGTCCCTGTCCTTACCAGACAGCTTGCATTATCTAGATCACTGAGGTTGCTTCCGCCTAACTGATCTGCTCTCTGTATTCCGAGGGCACCCCAGCAATAGAGGAAAAAGGCACAGGCATCGAAATCTCCAGCTGCTCTGACTCTAAGTTGGTGCACTTCTATGCCAAGTACTAAACACACAAGAACCGGATGCCACCAAAACCTGATTTGGGTCTGCTGCCTCCTAATTTCAAAAAACTTAATAGACATTATTTTTTAGAGTAGTTCTAGGTTTACAGATAAATTGAGTAGATAGTACAGAGAGTTCTCCTAGGGTCCCCTGACTTCCAGCACACAATTTTCCGATTAGTATGTCATATTAGTGTGGTCCATTTGTTGCAATTGACCAACCAATATTGATACATTCATTAGTAACTAAAGTTCATAGTGGACATTAGAGTTCATTCTTTGAGTTTTCACAGATTGAGTTTTGGCAATTACATAATGTCGTGAATCCCCAATACGGCATCATGCAAATAGTTTCACTGCTGAAGATTCCCTGTGCTTCACCATTTCATGCCTCTCTCCTCCACCCCTGACAACCACTCATCATTTCACTGTTTCTATCTTTTTGACTTTTCAAGAATGTCCTACAGTTGGAATCATAGAGTATATAGGTTTCCCGACTGGCTTCTTGCTCACGTGATGGACTTAAACTTCCTCCATGTCTTTGTGCTTGATGGCTCATTTTAAAAAAATCACTGAATTAGATTTCATTGTATGGCTACAGCACAGTGTGTTTATTCATTCACTTGGTGAAAGACATCTTGGTTCTTCAAGTTTTGACACTGATGAATAAAATTGCTCTAAGTACTTATGTGCAGGATTTTGAGTGAACTTCAGTTTTCCCAAGTGACTGTACATTTTGATTTTCACTAGCTATGGAGAGTTCTGGCTGTTCCTTATCTTTGACAGCATTCGGTGTGTTTCCCTTTTTGCATTTTAGCCATTCTAATAGGTTTCCAGTGATAGCTCCTTGTTTTAATGTTCAATTCCCCAATGCCCAATGATTTTGAGCATTTTCTATATGCTTATGCGCCATCTGCGTATTTTGTTGGTGATGTGCTTCAGATCTTTCACATATTGTTATTATTTGTTTGCCTTGTGTTGTTCAGTTCTCAGAATTCTCATATATTTTGGACAGCAGCATTTTATCAGATTATTTGTAAATATTTTCCTCCCCGTCTTTGACTTGCTTTTTTCCGTTATCTTCACAGTGTCCTTTCACAGGCAGAAGGTTCATTTTCCGGAGGCTCAACTTTATTTCTTTCATTCGTGGATTGTGCTTTTGAGTGTTGTATCTAAGAAGTCATCCTCGAACCCAAGTTCCCAAGCTCTTCTATTGTGTGATCTCCTGGGATTCTCATGGTTTTGCACCTTACATTTAGGTGTAAGATTCACTTTATGAAGGGCATAAACATGCACACCTAGATTGATTGATTGATTGATTGGTTTTGCATTTGGTTGTCTAGCTGTTCTAGCACCATTGTTTGGAAAGGCTATCCTTGCTGTTTTAAATGTCTTTAAACCTTTATGAAAGATCCGTGGACTGGATGTAGGCCAGTTTCTGGGCTCTGTGTTCTTTCCATAGATTCTTATTTGTGTATTTTTCCTCTTTTCACCAACTTCACGCTGTTTTGGTTTTTGTAGGTTTCTAGTAAGTCCTGAAGTTGGTAGTACCAACTGAGGGGTTTTTTTTCTGAACTTCATCATGACAACCTGAGATTGTTGTAGTCAAACTTGGTAATGTGTGAGATTCCCCCTTAGTTTGGTCTTCAAGGAGTTTTAATGCTCAAGGCAAGCCACCCTCAGCTGCTGGTAATCTGTGAATATCATTTAAGTGCTCCTCCCGGTGGCTGTCCCCAGTAGCTTCTCTTCCTGGTGAGCTGTGATTCTTCGTGGGTTAGCCTGTCTCTCTCAGTTTTCGGGTGGCAGTTTTCCCTGTGACCTCACTTCTCTGGTCCAGCCTAGAAGAGCTGACTTTCAGTTTGTTCAGCTTTTCTCTAGCTGTGAGGATAAGTGATGACTCCCTAGCTCTTTCCATGTTGGAGTGGAAACCCAGAAGTTCATTTAAAGAGTTACTTGTAATAAAATTCACCCATTGTCAGTGCACAGCTTAATCATTTAGGTTGATTTATAGAATTGTGCAGCCATGAGCAGAGTTCTATTTCAGTACATTTTTGGCTTCCCCAAATTCCCTTGAGCCTCTTTGTAGTCATTTCCTAATCCCTAGTCCCCTGTGATCAGATCTGAATAGAATAAATATTTGGATAACCAACTTCATTGTATTTAGATTTTCCTGTGTTTGGGACTTTATATAGTGGACTGTTGTCTTCCTTTTCTGACTAATGGAGAAGAGGTTGCATTCTAGGGATGTTTTTGGGGAAACATAACAGTACTCCTGTTTATGGCTCTCTTTGAATTGGTGCATCTTTGCTGTACTATTAGCTCAATTTATCTGAATTATTAGCTCAATTTACCTAGAATTATTCTAAAAACCAAAGTTCATTAAATTTTATTAAAGTTAGGATGCAACAACCCCAGATCAAATTGTGGTGGCATCCTGTTACTATGTGGTTAATACTTGACCTCGGGGCTGCCGTAGCAATGGATGCTCTTCAGGATCAGTGTGGATTAGAGGGAATAACCATGCTTGGAGAAGGGTTAGAGATGTCCATTCTTACATTAAACCGTTCTGCCCTAGGTCAGTGCCAGAGTAAGTGATTCTTGCCAGTATATGAGGCAGTGCTACTTACACTGTTCCTCTGCACTTTCAGTTGAGGAGGGTCTCTATGTGATGTATTTACTAGGTGTTTAATTTTCTCTACACTGTGTTAAGCACTTGGGCTCAGATAGTAGTTTCCCCAAGGAACAGAAGCTCATGAGAGAAAGAACACAAAGACATGATTTCAAGAAAATAGAGTAGTTCTCCAAAAGTGGGGTGTCATGGCAGCCCAGAGGATGGGAGTGTAGGTGAAGACATTGCTCCTAAGGACAAGGGGAACCATAAGAGGGATTCTTCAGAGCAGACCTGTTTTTCCTCCAGTGTCCCTGCAGAAAGATCCTGGGGCATGACTGGTGTAGAGCAGGGGTCTACAGGTGTAGGAGGGGCACTTGCTGCATCTTGGGAGAAATTATAGCATCCCAGTAGGACATTTTGGAGAGGAATGTCAGTGATGGGATTGGATGTCTGTAGTCAGTTTTATTCTATCTTCAGTGAGCACTGCTGAGAACTTCCTTAGTGCCAGACCCTAAGCTGGGAATCATGAACACAGAGATGAGTAGAATATGATCTCAGCTTTCACAGAACTCTCAGTCTAGTGACTAGTGAGATATGAGAAGTGTAGTGATGGTGGCTTCATTAGAGAAAGTGGCTCATGCTGCATGGAGATGACCTCAGTGGATGGCCTGCTCCCCTCCTCATTGTTACCAACAGCTGGATGACTTGCTCTGGGCTAGTGACCCTGGACTTCTGCCAGGTGTCAGCAACTTAGGTACAAGCAACACCTCAGTTTCCTGTTGGGCCAAAACAGTTAACACTGCCAAGGTGATCAGAGGACACTAGTGACATCAGTAGCTACTGATGAGGTCCTGGCCAGCTAGGGAAATAAAGATATAAGTTTAACAGTGATTCTAAATTTATTCTTAACATAATGAGCAGAGATATCTGTCTTCTAAGTTAAATACTTTTTAGACTTCAAGATTCACCCACGTCCAAAATAACATATATATCAGCCATATCACTGCCCTAAGATGATATCTCTCTGTCCTTACCAGAAGCCTGCACTATCTGGAGCACTGCAGTCTGTCTCAGGCTAACTGATCTGCTCTCTGGATTCCAGGGACACCCACAGAGCCAGTGGTTGAAGGCACAGGCATTGATGTCTCCAAGTGTTCTGACTCCAACTTGGTTCACCTCAACGCCCAGTATTACCCACACAGTAACAGGATGCCGCCACAATTTTGATTTGGGGCTGTTGCATCCTAACTTTAATAAAATGTAATGGACTTTTTTTTTTTTAGAATAATTCTAGGTTTACAGATAAATTGAGCCGATAGTACAGGGAATTCCCTATTCTCTCTGGTCCCCTAGCACACAATTTCCTCTATCAGTATCGTGCATTAGTGTGATACATGTTTACAACTGATTAATCAATATTGATACATTATAATTAACTAAACTCCATAGTTTACATTAGGGTTCACTCTTTGAATTTACAGTTCTATGGGGCTTGACAGTTACCATGTCCAGAATCCCCAGTACAGTGTCACACAGAAGAGTTTCACTGCTGAGAACCTCCTTGTGTTCAGCCAATTCACCCTCCTCACGCTTGGCAGTCACTGATCATTTCACTGTCTCTACCATTTTGACTTTCCTGGAATGTCCTAGTGTTGGAATCATACAGTGTGTAGAGTCTTTAGACTAGTTTCTTCCTAGCATTAGTGTATTTAAAGTTCCTCCATGTCTTCTCATGGCCTGATAGCTCATTGCATTTATCACTGAATCACATTCTCTTGTACAGCTATACCACGGTTCGTTTAGCCATTCACTTAGTGAAGGATGTTTGGTTACTTTCAGTTTTTAATAAGTATGAGTAAAACTGTTGTAAATACTTGGATGCAAGCTTTGAGTGAACATGTTTTCAGATTACTTTGGTAAGTATCGAAAACTGCTATTTTGGGATTATATGGTAAGGCTGTGTTTAGCTTTTTTTTTATTTTAAGAAAAAATAACGTGCCAAACTGTTTTCCAAAGTGACTAGCATTTTGCATTTCCACTAGCAGTGACTGAGAGTCCCTGTTGCTCTGCATCTTTGCCAGACTGTGGTATTGTCACTTGTTTGGATTTGAGCCTTCCTATTAGGTGTATATTATAGTGTAGTGGCATCTCATTGGTTTAATACGCAATTTCCTAGTGTCACATGATTTCGAGCATCTTTTTATATGCTTATTTTCCATCCATGTATCTTTCTGGTGAAGTATCCAGATCTTTTGCCCATTTCTAAATTGAGTTTTTTGCTTTTTTATTATTGAGTTTTAAGAGTCCTTATATATTTTGGACACCAGCCTTTCATCAGATCTGTATTTTGCCAAATTTTTTCCCAGTCCATCACTTGCTTATTCATTTCTTAAGTGTCTTTAACAGAGCAGAAGTTTTTTAATTTGTATGAAGTTCAACTTGTCAATTTTTTCTTTCCTGGATTGTGCTTTTGGCATCGTATCTGAGAAGTCATCACCAAACCCAAAGTCACCCAGATTTTTCCTATGTGGATCATCCAGGAGTCTTAGAGTTTTGCACCTCACATTCAGGTGTAAGATCCGTTTTGTGGAAGGTGTAAAATCTGTGCCTAGATTTATTTATTTTTCACATGTAGATGTCTAGTCATTCTAGCATCATTTGTTGAAAAGTCTATCCTTTCCCTGTTAAATTGCCTTTGTGCCTTCCTCAAAGATCACTTGAGTGTTTGTGTAGGTCTATTCCTGAGCTCTGTATTGTTCCTAGTGACCTGTTTGTCTGTGTTTTCTTTCTTCACCATTTCCACAGTTTGGTTACTGTAGCTTTATAATTAGTACTGAAGTTGGCAGTGTCAGTTCTCTGGGATTTTTTTGATCTTTACTATGAGAACCTGGTTGGGCTCCTAGGTGGTAACACGTTAGAAAAGTGTGAGATCCCCACTAAGTCTGGTCCCCAAGGAGTTTTGAATGCTCAAGCCAGGCCACCGTCAGCTTCTAGTAATCTGTGAGTACCATTTAAATGCTCCTCTCAGTTTCTGGCTTCAGCAGCTTCTGTTCCCTGTGTTTGCCTGTCTATCTGGTTTCAGCATGGCAATTTGCCCTGTGACCTCTCCTCCAGTCCCTCTAATAAGGATTGATAATTTTCGGTTTGTTCAGATTTCTTCTTGTTGTGAGGACGAGAGGTGACCTCCTACTTCCTTACAAGTTGGAGTAGAAACCAGGAATTTTATTTAACAAGTTACTTGTAATAAAAGTCACTAATTGCAAATGTAGAATTGAGTAATTTAAGTAGACATGTAGAATTTTGCAGGCATCACCTCAGTCCCCTCTTAGAATACATTTCTTCCCTCCCCAGATTCCACAGAGCCTCTTTGCAGTCATTTTCCAATCCCTGGTCACCACGATGGAGCCTGAACAAAATAAAAATTTGGAAAACAGCATTACATTTAAGCTTTTATTAGATTGGAATTTTATATAATGGATCATTGTCTTACTCTTGTAGCAACTAGAGGAGGTTTTTATTCTAAGGACTTTCTTTAGGGGACCTTAGTGGTATCCTGCTTATTGCCTCTCCTTGAATTGGTTAATCTTTGCTGGGTCAGACAGTTGCTATCAAACCTTGTCTGGTGAGCATGAGTGAAAGACCTAAAAGAAAATCTTCTATTAGAAATGTAGATGATGAATTTCCAGATAATGTTATGCCGAGTTAAGTTTTTGTTTTGTTTTGTTTTGTTTTTTTTGAGGTGTTTTGCTCTTGTTGCTCAGGCTGGAGTGCAATGGCACGAACTCGGCTCACTGTAATCTCTGCCTCCGGGTTCAAGCAATTCTCCTGCCTCAGCCTCCTGAGTAGCTTGGATTACAGGCATGCACCACCACACCAAGCTAATTTTGTATTTTTAGTAGAGATGGGGTTTCTCCATGTTGGTCAGGCTGGTCTTGAACTCACAACCTCAGGTGATCTGCCTGCCTTGGCCTCCCAAAGTTTTGAAATTGCAGGCATGAGCCACCATGCTGGAGTGCTATGTGCAATCTCAGCTCACTGCAACTTCTACCTCTAGAGTTCAAGTGATTCTTGTGCCTCTGCCTTTTGAGTTGCTGGGATTACAGGCATGCACCACCATGCCCACCTAATTTTGTATTTTTAGTAGAGACAGAGTTTTTCCATGTTGGTCAGGCTGGTCTTGAGCTCCCAATCTCAGGTGATCCAACCACCTTAGCGTCCTAAAATGCTGGGATTACATGTGTGAGCCACCACACCTGGCTGGGAGTTAAGTATTTTACCGTCTTTTCTCTTTCAGAGATTGGGTTGGTAACATTGAAGAGACGCTTCTCACCTGCCTGAAATGGCCGACGTTATCTTCAAGTTGCAAGGGCTCCGGAACAGCCCTTGCAGTGCTCCCATAAAGGGAAGCATCACATTTTACTGTAGTTCTTTGCTTTTTTTTCTTTTTTATGCCTATAGGGATTAGCATACATGTATGTGAAAATATAAAAAGTGTACAGCTAGGCACCTGTAACTAGTTTTCTGTTGCTACCTATTAACACATTATAACAAGTTAGTGGTTTGAAACCACAGAACTTAGGAATGACTGGGTTCTCTGATCGGGGTCTTTGGAGGCTGAAATCCAGTTATGTGCTGCCTGTGTTTTTCATCTAGAGCTCAGGCTATCACTACAGATGTATTGGCAGAATCCATCTTCCTGTGGGTGGAGGACTGACATCCTTTTGCAGTCCTTCTCCTCCTGGCTCTCAGCCTGAAGACACTCTGACTCCAGAGGCCACCTGCATTCTTTCTCACTTTCCCCATCTTCCAACCAACAACAGCTCATGGAATTCTTCTCCAGCTCCCATCCTCTCTCTGACTTTGTCTTCTCCCCACTAGAGAAATCTGTGACTCTTAGGGAGGGGTGTGATTAGATCCGGCCCACTCAGGAAAGCTCAGGCTTGGTATTAGTCTGTTCTTGCAATGCTATAATGACCTGAGGCTGAGATTTATAAAGAAGAGATTTAATTAGATCATGGTTCTGTGGGCTGGCAGGAGAGAGAGAGGGGTGGGGTGGGGGGAAGTGCTGCATAGTTTTAAAGAGCCAGATCTCATGGAAACTATCACATGACAGCACCTGGGGGATGGTGCTAAGCCCTTAGAAACCATCCCCATAATCCAGTAACCTCCTGCCAGGCCCCACTCTAACACTCGGGATTATAATTCAACATGGGATTTGGGTGGGGACACAGGACCAAACCATATCACTCTTTAAAGTCATATGACTGCCATTTAACAATGTAATCACAGGAATGTCTCAGCTAACAGATTCCAGAGATACGGGTAGAGGATGTTTGGAGACCATTTTAGAAATTCCACCTATCGCAGTTCAACTTCTGGTCCCCAGACATTCACAGTTCCTCACAGATGCAAAATACATTTACCCTCTCACCTGAGGTGTCCAAGTTCATGTCATTATGCATTAGTGCAAAGTGAAAAATGTCATGTAGCTTTAATCTGATCAAAAGTTTAAAATCTCATTTAAATCATCTACACCAAGTGTGAATGAGGCTTCTGAGGGTGTCCGTTAAGTACAGATTCCTTTTATTTGAGAGCGAGTCTTGGTCCTGTTACCCATGCTGGCAGTGCAGTGGTGCGATCTTGGCTTACTGGCAACTTCTGCCTCTTTGGGTTCAAGTGATTCTCCTGAATCATCCTCTCGAGTAGCTGGGAATACAGTCATGCACCACTGCATTTAGCTAATTTTTTGTATATTAGTAGAGATGGGGTTTTGCCCTGTTGGCCAGGCTAATCTGAAACTCCTGACCTCAGGGGCTGTCCCCCTCAGCCTCTCAAGATGCTAGGATTTCAGGCAGGAGCTACCATGCCCAGCCCAAGTACAGATCCTTGATATAATTCCATTACCCGTGTTGACCCGTGAAACTGAACAGCTTATCTGTCCTCAGTGTGCAACGGTGGGACAGTCACAGAATAACACTGCTAGTGATACTTGTTCAAAAAGAGGGAAAGTGGAGGGAACAAAGTCACTGATCCAAAACCGTTTTGACATGGGGTTGAGCAAAGTCCAGCCAGAAATTCTTCATTAGGCTCCACAGCCTGGAACTAACCCTCTGTGACAGGGGGCTTTGCCTCCGGGCTCTGCATGTTTTTCTATCATTATTGAAAACATTTTATTTTCCTTCTCTCCTGCTTTTTTTGGTTCTTCCCCTTTCTCCTCAGTGGCAGCATCCTCCACTTAATCCTTGCTGTGTCATCCCCAGCAGAATTGGTCAGACATTGCCTGTGTCACAGTCCTGACCATCTCCACGAGGGGCTGTCCTTGTGAGCCCAGTGCTCCTCTTCACTCACCTGACCGCTCTCAGTCATGATTGCTTTCAGCTGCCCTGGCTGGCTTAGGAGAAAACCTAAGACTATGGAGTCCCAGAACAAATCTCTGCCCTCTCTACCTCCAAGAGAGGAAGAAATAACAGTGATCTTCATAGAGAAATGACCCACAGGAGGGCCTGGACTCTCCAGCAGAAGGAAGTTGCTGAAGAATGGAGGAGCTGAGAGCCCAGGCCAGGAAAGCAGGGTTGTGTGAAACACTATTTAATCCTATGTGCTCCCTGCCCCAATCTAGCAGCCAGTGAATGACAACTGACCAAGTATAAAGGCCAGGACTGTAGAACTGTGATAAAGGGTTTGTCCAAGGAAAGGGGCTTTTCCCGTTTTTGTTTCCACAGTGGAAATTGCTATTCTTCATCTAAAGTTTCCTGAATGGCAGCAGCGAGCTTCTGGAGGGTGAGTTACCTGCTCTGCACAGGGAGGCTGAGGCCAAGACTTGTGTGATGGATCTGCTGCCACCAAGTGGTGAGGGAGGGAGCCTGGGAGAGTCTCCGTGTTTCTGGGCTTCAGTGTTTCCTCATCAGTAAGGTAGAGGCTTATTGTACCTCTCTGAGGTCCCTTCCTGCTTTGTTTTCTCTGAGCTTCTGAGGAATAGAGATGCTTTTCGTTACTGCCTGGGAGCTTCAGCTGAGACCTGACTCTGTGTGTCTCCTGCCGGAGCCTGAGCTGAGTCTACAGGCTGGAATCCCAGAGCTGGGGGAACAGGTGGAAGAAAGTCAGCAGGTTTAGGGGATGAGAATAATCCACAAAGGAGAAGCCATTGGTAAATAAAAACGAAAGAAGGGGAGAATAAGGACAGAGCAGGACAGAAGCCTGAGGGGAAATGGGCAATGGCTATGATCATTTAAACCCTCAAGGAGCAGCGTGAGCTGAGCAGTGGGGACTGAGAGAAACTTACTTGACAGGAATCTCCTGCCTCTGGCCAGGGAAAGCCACAGGTTAGATCAGAGCTGGTTTATAATGAGGGGCAGCTTCAGCTACAAGAAAGGGTCAGAGGTTTGTAATCAGTTTTATTCAGTCATGGATGAACACTCCTCAGACCCAGGAGCATCAGCATCGGTGCTGCTGTAGCAGTGGATGCTCTTCAGGTCAGTGTGAGTTAGAGGGAATAACCATGCGTGGAGAAGGGTTGGAGATGTCCATTCTTACATCAAACAGCTCTGCCCTAGGTCAGGTGCCAGTGTAAGTGTCCCTTGCTTGTATATGAAGCAGTGATACTAATATTCCTCTGCACATTCAGTTGAGGGAAGTTTCTCATAAATATTTACTATTTAATTTCCTTTATAGTATGCTAAGCACTTGGGATTCAGGTATTTAATGTCTCTCTGAAGAAACTCAAGCCAGTGAGTGGAAGAACACAAACAGATCATTTCAACAAGATACAGTAGTTCTACCCAACAGAGGTGTTGTGGCAGCCCGGAGGACGGGAGTGTATGTCAAAGGACATTGCTCCTAATGACAGGGGGAGGCATAAGAGAACATTTTCAGGACAGACTAGTCTTCCTTGAAGCTCCCACAGGAGAGGATCCTGCGGCAGGGATGGTGTAGGGCAGGCACCTCTCTAGGGAAGGGATTTGCAGCATTCTGAGAAAGAGCATCCCTTACAAGACATTGGGGACAGAAGTGTAGGTAAAAGGGTTGGAGGTTTGTAATCCATTTTATTCAATTATGGATGAACACTGCTGAGAGTCCCCTCTGCGCTGGGCCTTTACCTAAGGATCATGACCATAGAGGTGAGTAAAATAGGATCCCAGGTTTCACAGAGTTCTCAGTCTAGTGACTGGTGATTCATGAGAAGTTTAGTGATGGTGGAAGCAGTGGCCCATGCCACATGAGATGACCTCAGTGGATGTCCTGGGCCAGAGATCCTGGACTTCTGCCATATTTCAGCATCTCGACGTACAGTACACCAACACCTCAGCTCCATGTTGAGTCAAAGCAGTTAACACAGCCAAGGTATTCAGAGGACACTGATGATAACAGTAGCTATAGACTGTTTCCAGCTGAGGAAATAAATTTAATAACTCTTCTAAATTTGTCCTTGCCATAGTGATAAATAACTTTATCTTGATAATGAATTATATTGTGGTAAGTTAATTATAACTTACCATAATGAGAAGTAACTTTATGAGTACAGCAGACACACAAGCCCTTGAGGACACATGCCTGAGGATTCTGATGAAGATATATGTCCAAATATGTGACAGTTGGACCTACAGGCCAACTTTGAAACAGTGGAAAGACCTAGTTTCAAATTTAAGTTTGCTTTGAGTAGAAATTCACTTTACCTCTCTTTGAATGGCAATGGGACCAATCTTCCCTAAATTACTTCTTACAAGAAAAGGAATCATTCTGGTAAGAATTCAGACTTCAGCAAACATGGGGAAGTAAGGAAGTTTTATAACTTCTAGCCACCTAGCAAGAAACCAGGAATTTAGCAAGTTCATTCACATTCAGGACAGTTGTGTTCAGTAGACCAGAGGCCCTGAGACATGAAGAAGAGACCCCTTAACAAGAGAAAGTGTTTCTTCCTGTCCTAGGACATCACTGCCAACTTCAGGGAAGCGGGAACACAGCTGCCCGCTTTACAGTGTGGGCTGCTTTTGTGCCTGGAATGTGTGTGATGTCCTGAGACCTGTACCTATTTCAGGGAGCCTTGGGAGGAGCCTGAATCACTGATGGAATTGGACGGTGCATGGAGATGGTTGAGCAGCACGAGGGTAAGTGCAGGGGCATGGCCAGGTCATACTGGGAGAACTGAGTGGCACTGATGGGGACAGACAAAGAAATACAGACCTCTTGTATATTCCAAAGGTCCAGGGAAATTCCAGGTCTAATTCCATGAAAAATACAGGTTATTTTCCATGCTGTTAAAGCAAGGTTGCAGACACTTGTGAATTTTGGTCCCAGTATACTTGGAGGACACATCTGTGTCCTGAAAAATGATACAGGGATGAATACTCTTCAGGTGACTCATTCTGGTCATTTGTCCAGCATTACAGAAACCAGAAAATGGAAATGTGGCCAAATTCATGATTTGCTAGCCCTCTTGTTCAGCTTTCTCACCTGATTCTTAGGATAATAGCAGTTACCTTGAGGATTCTGATGAAGATATACTGTCCAAATATGTGCACAGTTTTTAGCAAAATGCCTGGTAGAGATTGGTCAACAAATAATTAGTGAATAATTATATGAATATTTACTGAATGACATGGATCCTATGAATAATTATGGAATCATTGTTGTGATTGCTTTTATTGGCACTGCTCAAAACTTATCCCTGTGTGACCTGAAGTAAGCCACATAACTTTGTGAACCTGCAGTTTCATCATTTTTATAGTGAAGAAACCTGACAGATTTTGCTTCTGCCAGAGAATGTCAGGCCTCCCAGACACCAGAACATGTATATACATAAAGCCTTTGATGTATCTCTAAGCGGTGTGCTCACAGTGTTGCTGGAGGATGATGGGGGCTGTAGAGAGGCACGCTTTCCAATGGGATCGATCCAGTCCTCCTTGCTTCACTTCCACATGAATGCTGGGCAGCCCAGGGTCACACCCTAAACTCAGCAAGCCCAGGAAGCAGCCAAACATAGGAGACCTGGGCTACAGAACAGCCTCCCAAGTCCCAGGCTCCCAAAACCTGGGTGGTGATGAAAGCTGAGAAAGTGAGGAGGAGGCTCAGGGATCACTCTTCCTACTCGGTCCTGTCATCTCCATTTCACCTTCTACTGCACAGCAACACGGAGGACCACTAACCACCCCTGACCATCACCTTGATCTTACCGTGTTTGGTTAGTGGGATGCAACCACACATCAATGGCATTAGACCAACTCAGAAAAGTATGTGTCAAACAGTATTCCACAAGGACCGCTCATGGCCCTGTTGTTTTCAATATGTGGACAACATGAAATGAAAACAACAAAATCATACCAGGTTTACCAGACTTCCCAAGATAGATGGTCACATACACTTTCAGAAGATCTCCATAGAAATGATTTTGATGACTTGACACCTTGAAAAGAGCTCTTCTGGGACTAAATTGCCATTTATAAGTGACAAGAATGAGATGTAGTAGTTCAGTCACATTAGAAAACCAATCATCCCACACAGAGGAAGCTTTGGATATAGGGCCATGGAACTGGTCTTAAGTGTAATGAAAAGTCTCTTCTGCCCCAAATATCAGTGTAGTGATATCTGATAGTAAGAAAATATAAATCAGCATAACCATGGGATGCAGCAAGAGAAATATTGAGCCAGGAAAGAAAGCATTTTAATTCATTAAAAAAATGAATTCCTCATTCAGTCTCTAGTGGATACAGAAAAAACTGCAGAAAAGTCAGAGGATTTCATGGCAGTGTAATAGGATGATATGTTAAACTCGTGGAAAAGCCTCCAATTCTGTTTTAACATAGGAGAAGGAGGGATGACTGACTTCATGACTAGCATTAAGAAAATATCACATGTTGGGAAATTGTTTCTGCCTTGATTATTTTATACACGCAAGAGATGAAAAAATGAGGCACATGCTTAGATATATTGGGAATGAGATGGGACTGTGGCATCGTCACAAGGGTACACAAATACTGAGAGTGACTGATAGAGGAATGGTTCCCCGTTGGTTGTGAGCTCAGGTGAGACCAGGGGGCCTGTGTTTTAGCAAACTCTGGGCAGTTGGAATGAAGATTCCATGACACGCCCAGCTTACAATTCTATTATTGCAACAGCAGACCGTTACCTGGGAAACTGGCCCTGTCTCCCACACTCTTGTCAGAGTCTGAGCTAGAGGCAGCACCTTCAGCTCTGAGCTCAAGTGTTTCCTACATTGTTTTGGCAGTTAAGGACCTTAAATTGTGTGAGGAGGGATCATTCTTCTAAACAGTAAGTTAGGAATTTGACTTATTGAAATTCCTCAGTCCTGATTAAACCTATTTGATTTCCAGTTTTTAACCCACCCTGTGTTTGGGTTTCTTCTCCCTAGTCCCTGGCTGTGCCTGGGTGCCCCAAATGTCACCATGGCGGCACCTGGCAGGGCGTGTTCCAGGCAAACCACAGAGGTGAACTTTCCTGATATTGTCGAGAATTCCTACACCCAGCAGGAAGAGACCAAACCGAGTTTCAGAGACAGCAAAAATAGACTTCTTCTGAGCCAGGTGGCCTACTTCCAGAACTACCAGCTGAAGACAGACAGTAAGTTGTATAGGTTCACCACCATGAAACTGTTGAGTGATGTCCTGTCTTGTCTCTAGAAACTAACGGTTCTCTTCATCAAAATTAATTTCATGGTTCCCATACTTGTAGAAAATAGCAATGGGTCTTTTAACATTGAGTTAAAGATGGAAGACAGAGGCCAAAGTATTTATCAACTGTTCCACGTCTGCAGTAAGATGGGTGAGAGACTGGGGTTACAATCCCACCTCTTGATTTCTGACCCAGGCACAGAACCACCTGTTTTTCTCAGCAAAAGGCTAAATCCTGTTTACAGGAATCCTCTCTGTACCGTATAAGATTCTGCAGACAAGTAGCATCCAGTCTGTTGGTCTAAATGTCTGAGGCTACTGAACTTCCATTAGGTTCCGGAGACTGCTGAGGCCCAGGAGGCAAAGGTGTGTTCTGGGGACACTGGGGGAAACACAGTGATAGCAGACAGTACCCACTGTGAGGAGTTTAAGGGGACGCTGCTGCTAATAGAACCTGTGGTATGTGTAAGTGGTATCATCAAGAGCAGGGAGTACCCTGGTACTGGTGTCTCAACCTCCCAATCAGCTGGGATTTCCGGTGGGCACCAGCACACCTGGCTTACTATTGTATTTTTAGTAGAGGTGGGGTTTCATGATGTTTGCCAGGCTGGTCTTGAACTCCTGAGATTAAGGGATCTGCCCTGGTGTGCCTCCTAAATTGCTCGGATTCCCGGCAAGAGCCACCATGGTGGTTCCACAGATTCTTTTTTCAGGAAAGGTTGTTAGAATTCATCAGTTTGTTCAGTCTCCTATATAAATTTCTCTATCCATTAACTGACCATAATATATGATGAGATAAATCAGTATTGCAGCAATGCTTCTGGAAAGTATTTAGGGCAATTTTTGGAAGATTTTGGGTGAAACGTTTTAATTTTTGCACTGGCTTAGGTCAGAGGATAAGTGATTAAGATCTACCAGATGAGGGAAATTTTGTCCCATGCATTTGAAAAGCAGGCTCATCCACTTCTAGGGCAACTTAGTCTAGGGCCCATTAGAACATTACTGTCAGAATAACACATTCTTACACTGAGAGTATTTTAAGTCCTTGTGCTATGACTGGACACTGATTTAGTCTTGTGTGAAGTGCGATTTGCTTAATGTGACCTGCTCTTCTGAATTTGTTTATAGAAGATCGAAAAGATGACTATGAAGAACAGAAATACAGAGACCGCAAAAATAAACTTTTTTTGAGTCAAGTGGCCTACTACCTGGGCTGCCGGCATAAGACGGAAGGTAAGTTCCACGGGTTCACCATCACGGAAGTGCTGAACAATCTCCTGTCTTATCTCTGAGAAATTACACACTCTTGTCTTCAAAGTTAATTTAATCCTTCTAATACTACTAGGAAAATTGCAATGGTATTTTAACATTATGGTAAAGATGGAAGTCAGAGGCCAAGGCATTTAGCAACGCTTCCACATCTGCAGCAAGGTGGGTGTCGGACTAGGGTTAATAACGCAGCTAACGATTCCTGACACAGGCACAGAACCACCTGTTTTTCTCAGGAAGAGACGAAATCACGTTGTCAGGAATTCTCTCTAAGACATAGGATCCTTCAGAACTTATAAGCAAGATAAAGGTAGAAGCGTTTATATTCTGGTTTCAAGGTGACTGAGTAGCTAAGACAAGTTGACTCTAAGGAGATCAAGAGTGGAGATAAGAGTTAAAGCAGGGAAACACCATGTGCAATAGGCAAGGCTGTCAGTGAGATCCCTCAGTCCTGATTAAACCAACATATCGTCACCAGTTTGTAACCCATTATGTGTCTGGGTTTCTTCTCCCCAGTCCCTGGCTTTCTGTGTTGTGCCCAAAAAGTCAACATGGTGGCATCTGGCAGGCCTCCTTTTAGAATAAATGGAGAGGTGAACGTTCCAGAAGGCATTGAGAAATCCGGCTCACAACAGGAAGAAAACAAACCAAATGTCGGAGCCAGCAAAAACAGACTTCTTCTGAGCCAGGTGGCCTACTTCCAGAACTACCGGATGAAGACAGACAGTAGGTTCTGTAGGTTGACCACCATGAAAGTGATCAATGATGTCCTGTGTTGTTTTGAGAAACTAACAGTTCTCTTCATCAAAATTAATTTCATTCTTCCCATACCTTAGCAGTGGGTATTTTAACATTTTGTTAAAGATGGAAGACAGAAGCCAAAGTAGTTAGCAACTTTTTCAGCTCTGCAGTAAGGTGGGTTTACAACTGGGGTCACAATCCCAGCTATCAGTTTCTGAGGCAGGCACAGAACAACCTGTTTTTCTCAGCAAGAGACCAAATCCATGTTTGAAGGAATCCTCTCTGTACAGTATAAGATCCTGCCGACAAGTAACATCTGGTCTGTTGGTCAAAATGTCTAAGGCTACTGCACTTCCATTTGCTTCTGGTTTTCTGAGGCCCAGTAGGCAAAGCTCTATTCTGGGGACACTGGGGGAAACGTGGTGATAGCACGCAATACCTCCTGTGGAGAGCTAGAAGGGGAATTCGCTCCAGTAACATCTGTGGTATGTGTATGTGGCACCATCAAGAGCAGGGAGTACCCTGGTACTGGTGCCTCAGCCTTCCAGTTAGCTGGGATCCCTGGTGGGCACCACCGCAAAAGGCTAATTTTTGTATTGTTAGTAGAGACGGGGTTTCTCCATGTGGGCCAGGCTGGTCTTCAACTCCTGAAGTCATGTGATCTGCCTCCCTGGGCCTGCTAAAGTGCTGGAATTCCAGGTGTGAGACACTGGGCTGCCTCCATGGATTCTTTTTTAAGTAAAGGTTGTTAGGATTCATCCATCAGTCCAGTCTCCTATATAAATTTCTCTAACCATTCATTGACCATGATATATGATGAGATAACTCGGTATTGCAGCAATGCTTCTGGAAAGCAGTTAGGGCAATTTTTGAAGATTTGGGAAAAAAGGTTTAATTATTTGCACTGATTTAGGTAAGAGGATACATGATTTAAGATCTACCAGATGAGGGAGATTTTGTCCCATGGATCTGAAAAGCAGGCTCATATACTACTGAGGCAACCTAATCAGGGGCCTGTTAGAACATTCCTGTCAGAATATCATGTTCTTACACTGAGAATATTTTACATCCTTGTGCTATGACAGGACTCTGATTTGGTCTTGTGTGAAGTGCGATTTCCTTAATGTGACCTGCTCTTCTTAATTTGTTTACAGATGATCGAGAAGATCACGATGAAGAACAAAAATACAGAGACAGCAAAAATAAACTTCTTATGAGTCAAGTGGCCTACTACCTGGCCTGCCGGCTGAGGATGAAAGGTGAGTTCTGTAGGTTCACCATTACGGAAGTCCTGGACAGTGTTCTACTCTCTTCTTCAGTCTAATTTTATCACTCACAGACTTCTAGGAAGGTAGCAATTGGTATTTTAACATTTTCTTAAAGACATAACACACAGGCAAAATTATTTAGCAACTTTCCACATCTGCAATAAGACAGGTGTGAGATTGGGTGAACATCCCAGATACTGATTTCCAACACAGGAACCAAAACACCTGCTTTTCTCTGCAGGAGGCTAAATCATGTTTACAGGAATCTTATCCATACCATATAAGACCCTTTAGAACTGAAAAACAGGATCAAGGTAGAAATGTTTATGTCCTGGCTTCAAGGTAAATGAGTAGCTAAGACAAGTTGACTCTAAGGTGATCGAGAGCGCAGATGAGAAGAGTAATTTGGGGAAATAACATCTTGAAATCAACAGGCAAGGCTGTCAGTGACATTCCTCAGTCCCGATTAAACCAATTTGACGTCACCAGTTTCTAATTCACCATGTCTTGGGTTCCTTCTTTCCAGTCCCTGGCTTTCTGTATTGTTACCCAAACATCAGCAGGGTGGATTCCGGTAAACTTCCTTCCAGAAAAGACCCAGAGGTGAACGTTCCAGAAACCATTGAGAAATCCTGCTCCCAGCGGGAAGATAACAAACCAGATGTTGGAGTCCGCCGAAATAGATGTTTTCTGAGTGAGGTGGACTACTCCCTGAACTACAGGCTGAGGGCATACGGTGAGTTCCACAGGTTCACCTCCACAAAAGTGATGAACGATGTCCTGCCCCGTCACGAGAAACTGACCGCTCTCTTCGTCAAAGTTAATCTCGTCTTTCCCATGGGCCTAGAAAATAGAAATGGGTGTTCTACCATTTGGTTAAAGATGGAAGACAGAGGCCAGAGTGTTTAGCAACTTTTCCACGTCTGCAGTAAGGTGGGTGTGGGACTGGGGTCACAGTCCCAGCCATGGGGTTTCTGACGCAGGTGCGGAACCACCTGTTTTTCTCAGCAAGAGACTGAATCCGTGTTTACAGGAATCCTCTCTGTACAGTACAAGATCCTGCAGAGAAGTAGCATCTAGTCTGTTGGTCCAAATGTCTGAGGCTGCTGACCTTGCACGTGGTTTTGGTTTCGGCTGAGGCCCAGCAGGCAAAGCTGTGTGTGGGGGGGACCCTGGGGGAAACACAGCGATAGCAGACAGTACCTCCTGTGAGGAAATGAAAGGGGATCTTGCTCCTGAGAGTAGAACCTGTCGAATGTGTAAGTGGCCCCATCAAGAGCAGAAAGTACCCTGGTACCGGTGCCTCAGCCTCCCAATTAGCTGGTATTTCCGGTGGGCACCACCACGCCTGGCTACTGTTTGTGTTTGATTTAGAGGCGGGGTTTCTCCACGTTGGCCAGGCTGATCTCGAACTCCTGAGGTCAAGGGATCTGCCCTTTCAGACCTCCTAAAGTGCTGGGAGTCCAGGCATGAGCCACCATGCCGGCTCCACAGATTCTTTTTTTAAGTAGAGCTTGTTAAAAAATACATCCGTCGGTCCAGTCTCCGGTATACATTTCTCTAACCCTTCGTTGGCAGTGATACCGGATGAGCTAGATGAGTATTGCAGCAACCCTTCTGGAAAGCAGTCAGGGGAAGTTTTGAAGATTTTGGGGTAAAAGTTTTAATCGTCTGCACTGACTTAAGTCAGAGGATATGGGATCGAGATCTACAAGATGAGACAGATTTTGTCCCATGGATGTAAAAAGCAGGCTCATCTGCTTCTGAGGCAACCAAATCTAGGGCCCCGTGAGAACATTCCCATCATAGTATCGCATTCTTCCATTGAGACTATTTTACGTTCTTTTGCTTTGACAGGACACTGGCTTGTTCTAGTTTAAAGTGAGAATTGCTGAATGTGACCTGCTCTCCTGAATTTTATTACAGGTGATCAAGATTATAATGAAAAACGGAAATACAGAGAAAGCAAAAATAAGCATTTTACAAGTCAAGCGGCCTTCTGCCTGGACTCTCGGCTGAAGACGAAAGGTAAGTTCTATAGTTTCACCATAATGGAAGTGCTGCACAATGTCCTGTTTTGTCTCTTACAAATGATGCACTCTCTTCTTCAAAGTTAATTTTATCCTTCCCATGCTTCTAGGAAAATAGCAATGATTATTTTAACATATTGGTAAATCTGGAAGTCAGGGCCAAGGTATTTAGCAACTCTTCCATGTCTGCAGTAAGGTGGGTTTGGGACTAGGGTCAATATCACAGCTAATGACTTCTGACACAGGCACAGAACCACCTGTGTTTCTCAGCAAGAAACTAAATCATGTGTACAGGAATCCTTTATAATATGTAGGATCCTGAAGAACTTCTCAGCAAGATAAAGGTAGAAATGTGTATTTCCTGGTTTCAGGGTGAATGAATAGCTAAGACACGTTAACCTAAAGGAGATCAAGAGTGGAGATGAGAAGAGTCAAGGCAGGGAAACAACATGTCCAATAGGCAACGCTGTCAGTGACATCACTCAGTCCTGATTAAACCAATTTAACGTCACAGGTTTCTAACCCATCATGTGTTTGGGTTTGTTCTTTTTAGTCCCTGGCTTTCTGTGTTCTGCCCCAAACGTCCACATGGTGGCGTCTGGCAGGCCTTCCAGAATAAACCCAGAGGTGAATGTTCCAGAAGGCCCTGAGAAATTCTGCTCACAACAGGAAGAAAACAAACCAAATGCTGGAACCACCGAAAATAGACTTCTTCTGAGTCAGGTGGCCTACTTCCAGAACTACCGGCTGAAGTCATACAGTAAGTTCTAGAGGTTGACCACCACGAAAATGATCAATGATGTCCTGTGTTGTTTTGAGAAACTCACAGTTCTCTTCATCAAAATTTATTTCATCCTTCCCATACTTGTAAAAAATAGAAATGGGTATTTTAACATTGTTGTTAAAGATGGAAGACGGAAACTGAAGTATTTAGCTACTTTTCGACAGCTGCAGTAAGATGGGTGTGGGACTGGGGTCACAATCCAGGCTATCAGTGTCTGACACAGGTACAGAACCGCCTGTTATTCTCAGCAAGAGACCGATTTCATGTTTACAGGAATCCTCTCTGTACAGTATAAGATCCTGCAGACAAGTAGCATCTAGCTTGTTGATCAAAATGTCTGAGGCTACTGAACTTTTATTTGGTTCTGGTTTTTTGAGGCTTAGTAGGCAAAGCTGTGTCTTTTGCACCCTGCGGGAAATGTGGTGATAGCACACAGTTCCTCCTGTGAAGAGGTCGAAGGGGCTCTGCTTCTAATAGAACCTGTGTTATGTGTAGGTGGCACCAGCAAGAGCAGGAAGTACCCTTATAATGGTTCCTCAGCCTCCCAGTTAGCTGGGATCCCTGGTGGGCACCACCGAAAATGGCCAAGTTTTGTATTGTTAGTAGAGGTGGGGTTTCACCATGTTAGCCAGGCTGGTCTTGAACTCCTGAGGTCAAGTGATCTGCGTTCCTGGGCCTCCTAAAATGCTGGGATTCCAGGTGTGAGACACCGGGATGGCTCCATGGATTCTTCTTTAAGTAAAGGTTGTTAGAATTTGTCCATCGGTCCAGTCTTTTATATAAATTTCTCTAACCATTCATTGGCCACGATATATGAGGAGCTAGATCAGTATTGCAGCAATGCTTCTGGAAAGCAGTAAGGGCAAATTTGGAAGATTTGGGAGAAAAGTTTTAATCATTTGCACTGACTTAGGTCAGAGGATACATGATTAAGATGTACCTGATGAGGGAGATTTTGTCTTATGCATCTGAAAAGCAGGCTCATATACTACTGAGGCAACCTAATCTAGGGCCTGTTAGAACATTCCGTCACAATATCACGTTCTTACACTGAGAATATTTTACATCCTTGTGCTATGACGGGACACTGATTTGGTCTTGTGTGAAGTGCGATTTGCTTAATGTGACTTTCTCTTCTGAATTTATTTACAGAAGATCGAAAAGGTCACGACGAAGAACAGAAATACAGAGACAGGAAAAATAAACTTCTTATGAGTCAAGTTGCCTACTACCTGGGCTGCCGGCATAAGACGGAAGGTAAGTTCTATAGGTTCAGCATCACAGAAGTGGTCAACAATGTTTTTTCTTTTCTCTGAGGAATTATGCACTCTCTTCTTCAAAGTTAATTTCATCCTCATACTTTTAGGAAAATAGCAATGGGTATTTTAACATTTTGTTAAAGACGTAACACAGAGGCGAAACTATTTAGCAACTTTTGCACATCTGTAGTAAGACATGTGTGAGACTAGGGTTAACATCCAGCTATTGATTCCTAACACAGGCACCAAACCACCTGCTTTTCTCTGCAAGAGGCTAAATCATGTTTATAGGAATTTTCTGCGTACCATATAAGATTTTTCAGAACTCATAAGAAGAAAGAGGTAGAAATGTTTATGTACTGGCTTCAATTTGAATGAGTAGCTAAGACAACTTGACTTTAAGGAGATCAAAAGTGGAGATGAGAAGAGTAATTTGGGGAAATAACATCTTCAAATCAGTAGGCAAGGCTGTCAGTGTCATCCCTCAGTCCTGATTGAACTAATTTGATGTCACCAGATTCTAACCCACCATGTGTTTGTGTTTCTTCTCCCCAGTCCCTGGCTTTCTGTTATCTGCTTCAAACATCAGCAAGGTGGCATCTGGCCGGCCTCCTTACAGAAAATACACAGAGGTGAACGTTCCAGAAGGCATTGAGAAATCCTGCTCCCAGCAAGAAAATAACAAACCGAATGTCCGAGTCAGCAAAAATAGATGTCTTCTGAGTGAGGCGAACTACTCCCTGAACTGCCAGCTGAAGACCTACAGTAAGTTCTATTGTATGGATGAGTAAGTACTGACCTATTGGTTCAGTCTCTTATATAAATTTCTCTAACCATTCCTTGACCATGATATAATGAGATAGATCAGTATTGCAGCAATTCTTATGGAAAGTAGGGCAAGTTTTGAAGATTTTGGGAAAAAAGTTTTAATTGTTTTCACTGACTTAAGTCTTAGGATATGGGATTGATTTCTACAAGATGAGACAGATTTTGTCCCGTGGATCTGAAAAGCAGGCTCATCTGCTTCTGAGGCAACTTAATCTCGGGCCCGTTAGAACATTCCCATCATAATATCTCATTCTTCCACTGAGAATATTTTATGTTCTTCTGCTATGACAGGACACTGATTTGGTCTTGTGTGAAGTGAGATTTGCTGAATGTGACCTGCTTTCTGAATTTGTTTACAGATGATCAAAAAGATCATGATGAAGAACAGAAATGCAGAGACAGCAAAAATAAACATCTTAGGAGTCAAGCGGCCTACTACCTGGACTGCCAGCTGAAGACGAAAGGTAAGTTCTATTCGTTCACTATCATGGAAGTGCTGAACGATATCCTGTCTTTTCTCTGAAAAACCGAACACTCTATTCCACAGAATTTATTTCTTTGTTTTCATACTTCTAAGCAAATGTAAATTTGTATCTTAACATATTGTTACAAGCGGATGAGAGAGGCCAAAGTATGTAGCCACTTTTCCACATCTGCAGTAAGGTGAGTGTCTGACTCCGTAAAATCTCAGCTGATTCCTGACACAAGCACAGAACCACCTGTTTTTCTCAGCAATAGGCTTAATCATGTTGACAGGAATCCTCTCTGTACCACATGAGATCCTGCAGACAAGTAGCATCCAGTCTGTTGGTCTAAATGTCTGAGGCTTGTGAACTGCCATTCAGTGCAGGTTTCTGCTGAGGTCCAGTAGGCAAAGGTCTGTTCTCGGGTCCTGGGGGCAATGCGGTAATAATACACAGAACCCGGTGTGGGGAGCTTAAAGAGGACTCTGCCCCTTCCATAATCTGATGAAAGGCGGTCTTTGGAACAAGAGGCAGCATCTTTCCAGGTGTAAAGGACAGGAAGGAAGCTGTGACAGGAGAGGGGTTGTTGGAGTGGAAAGATCTCTGGATTGAGAATGAAGGTTCCCAGGCTGTATCTTCAGCAGTGTCTTTAGTAACTGTCACTGAGCACTTGATTTCTCTCCTTCCTTCCTTTCTGTCTCTCCATCTGCAAAGTCAGGCAAATTTCTCTCTCCATCTGCAAAGGCAGACATCTTGCAGTGCGAACACTTATGACCGCTTATCCAAATGAGGTAAAGCCCCTCGCTTTGTGATGTTGGGACCACAGGTGCCCATCAGCACACCAAGTGAACTTTTTATTTTTGGTAGAGATGAGGTTTCACCATATCGGCCTGGCTAGTCTTGAACTCCTGATCTTCAACTTTTCACCTACTTTGTCCTTTCAAATCCTAGGTTATGTTTTGTTTTGTTTTGTTTTGGAGGGGTAGTCTCTCTCTCTTAATCAGGCTGGGGTTCAGTTGCATGATCTCAGGTCACTACAAACTCTGCCTCCTGGGTTCAGACGATTCTGCTGCCTCAGCCTCTTGAGTAGCTAAGAGTGTAGGCACGTGCCACCACGCCCAGCTAATTTCTTTGTATTTTTAGTAGAGACAGGCTTTCACCGTATTAGCCAGGATGGTCCCGATCTCCTGAGCTCGTGAAGTGCTCACCTCGGCCTTTCAGAGTGCTGGGATTACAGGCGTGAGCCACCATGCCCAGCCCAGAGATTGTTTTTTGTTTGTTTTTGCTTTTGTTTTGTCTTTTTTCATTCCTTCTCCCTAGAGACTGTCAAAAATTGTCAATGCCGACTCTATTACATGTCATCTCAGCGGGGTATTGGGATTGTTTTCAATTAGCGATAATCTCATCTCAGATAAACCCCATTGGCTATGATACTGCCACTGCGCAAAGCTTACAGATTCTATTTGCAGCAAGTGTTGTTAGAATTTACATATCCATCTCGTTTCATGTATAGATGCTTCTGACCATTCAATGACCTTGCTCCCTGGTGAGATAAGTCAGTATTGCAGCAACACTCCCGGGAAAGAGTTTGACTTATTTTTGGAGATTTTCTGGGAAAAAATTTGGTTTAAATTTGCATAGACTCAGGGAGAGAATATGGCATTATGGCCTACCCATACAGGGAGCTTTTGGCCTGTGCATCTGGAAAGCAGGCTCATCTCCTCACCAGGCTTCATCTAGGGCACCCTAGAATCTTCCTGTCAGAATTTGTATTCTTGCCGTGAGATCATTTCTGTGCCTGTGCTATGACTCAACACTGATTTGGTCATATGTGAAGTGTGATTTGCTTAATGTGACCTGCTTCTCTGAATTTATTTACAGGAAGTCAAGGTGATGTTGAGGAAGAGGAGGAGAAAGGGCCAGTGCCCCCCAGGTAACGCTGTGGATCTGTGGGCTGTTAGTTCCATAGTGACACCTGGAGACTGCAGATCCAGGAAAAGGAGAAAATGATGACTAGAACTCTGCCTTCCATTCACCCAGCTACAGATTGTCCTCATTGACAGTGCTGTGGGTGATGTGTGGCACTTGTATAGGTTTTAATTTCTTAGTCCTCCCAAGATAGGGACCTGCAATCTTCTGAGCCAGGTGAACTCAGCAAACAGGGATTTTTTGGTTTCCCCTGTTCTCTCCCATGGGTTTAATTCCAGGGAGAGACGGGGATATGCTTTCTACCCATTTGTTGTTAGCATGTTTGCTAGGATTTGTGAAGAGAAGAAATTCAAAAAATATACATATGCTATCAAAATACTGGAAAAGGGAGGCCCTTAGTACACACGATCTGGGTGTCTGAAATGCCTCAGGAGCTCTGTTCACTTGAATGCTGCATGTAAAATTCAACACAACTTACGTGAGGTAGTTGAATCCCCGTGTTAGTGCTCATGTTGCAGTTCATGATGGTAGTTTCCCGGGAGTCTGGGTGGCCTGCAGTGGCTCATCTGTGGCAAATGCACTGAGCACCTGCTGCTAATTTGTGCTGTGTCCCCAGGGTAATCACCCTTCACCCTGCATTTAGAAGGATAGTTTTTTTTTCTCTTGAAGGAAAAATGCCTTTGCTTTCTGTGACCACTCATTGTGACTTCCATCAGATCAGCTGGGGGACTTTGTTGTCTAATCTCTGTTGGTTTTAATCTGTCGTCCTGTCCTGCCTGGTTCAGGAATCTGCAGGAGTCTGTGGAGGAGGAAGCCCCCCAGGAGTCCTGGGATGAAGGTGATTCGACTCTCTCAGTTCCTCCTGGCCCATCTGCCTTCAATGAGACTTTGAGGAGCAACTTGCACTCATTAGAGGAGCAGCAAGTCATCTCGGCTGTTGACATAGACAGTGAGTACTCCATTGTGAAGGGCGCTAAAGCTCCATTTCGTGTCCCAGATAGACCCCATAGTCTTTGGGCATTGCTCCCCTGGCCAGGCTGAGGGTTGTCATCACTGTGGGCTGAGCCTGTATGTGAGTGTAGATTTCAATCACTCTGGATTCCAGTCTGAAGCGGCGGCATGGGGTGGGACAGTGAGCTTTGCTCTGTCTCTAGTCTCAGGCCATGCCTGTCACACCCTGGACCGACTATCAGGACATTGAAACTTAAGGCAGGTGTTGCACACTCACGCCAAGCTCTGCAGCACATGCCCACAAGTTGTCTGTCAATCTGAATGAAATGTCTCTTGCCAGCTACCAAGTTCCTCATGAGTTTTGTTCCCCAAGCATGTCTGTGAGGTTCTTCCCTGTTTGTACAAACTTGGTGTAACTGTCTGTAGAAACTTGGGATAAAAGGATAATGGTCTACCAGAATAGGGACATTTCATCATTGGTCTGAGACAGGAACCAAGAAATCTCTCTCATGATTGGCCTTCAGACCTCCTGAAGTCTGTCTCTCACATTATCCTGTTCTCATGTTGAGAAGCCTGAGGTCCCTGTGCAGGGATTAGACAGTGGACGGTTATGGGTGTAGGAGAATTGGCTTATTTTGTCTGTCCCTGTCGAATTTATTGCAGAGATTAAAAATGACCAAGCAGAAGAAGACGACCAAGGCCCACCATGCCCCAGGTAACTTTGAGCAATTGTGAAGAGCTAATTTTGTGTTGACACCTGGAGACACCAGGTCCAGGGAAAAGAGTGGGCTGACAATATCGATACCATGTTTCCAATGAAGCCTGAATGATTTCTACTAACATTGCTGTTGGTTTTCATTGCGGTAGATACTTAGGTTTCCATTTCTCCCTCCCCTTATCATTTACTAACTACCGTAGGTTGACGATACTTGTTTTTATGATCAGTGTACGCTGTGTGTCCTGAGGGTACTCACTCAGAGTGTCCTTTTACTCCCTCATCAGTGTGTCACCTGGACGGATCACTGAGCTTACTTTCCCTCTCTCTTTGATTCTTTTTTACCCTACTCCTGCCCATCCCAACATAAAGCAATAATTTGTTATGTCATTAATGGATCTATGTTTTTTCTTTATTAACCACTTTCTTGTGCTCCCCATGAAATCTAGTTGGGGCTCTGCGGTGTCTTATTTTCCCTGACTTATTCTTTGGTTTTTCCTCCTTTTCTAGGCTCAGCATGGAGCTGGTGGAAGCAGAAGAACCTGAAGTCTTCCGGTCCTCACTGGATGTATTGTATTCAACTTATGCAGCTTATCCTGAGTTTTATTTCACATGCCAGGCTTACACATATGTTATTTTTTTATTTGTGGAAGAGCGTGTTCGCTTGACTTTGGACATGGACAGTAGGTTTCTTACTACGACGGTGACAAGACTCCTCCCCCTGGTCTCCCGGGTAGGGGTCATATTTCCACACTAAGACAGCGTGTCACGTGGGACTCTGCCGGTGCAGAGTATGAACACCACCATGTTCTTGCTGAAACACTTAGCCTGAGTTTCATAGCCTGAGGTAATCTCCAGACAACTTCAGAATGTAGAGCAGTGAGCAGCACAAGTGACCTTTCTCCTTCAGAAAGCCCATGTCACCACAAATCACACAACCAAAAGGAGAAGAGACATTTTGGGTTGAAAAAGAGTAAAAAGATAATGTAGCTACATTTCTTTAGTTCTTTTGAACCCAAAGTGTCTCCTCACCTTTTGTTGTTGTCATTGATGGTGGTGACATGGGCTTGTTTGTAGAGGACAGGTCAGCTTTCTGACTCAAAGCTCTACCCTCTGAAGTTGTCTGAAAATGTCCTCATGATTAAATTCAGCCTAAGTGTTTTTCTGGGAACACTGCAGGGTCAATGCTACCTCACCCATCTGCAGGCAGAGAAGGTCCCGTGTGTCTCCCACCATGATTGTGATACCAGGACTGTTCCACCATTTGTCTACCATCATGATCCTGATACCAGGACTGTTCCACCATTTGTCTACCACCATGATCGTGATACCAGGACTGTTCCACCATTTGTCTACCACCATGATCGTGATACCAGGACTGTTCCACCATTTGTCTACCGCCATGATCGTGATATTAGGACTGTTCCACCATTTGTCTACCACCATGTTCGTGGTACCAGGACGGTTCCACCATTTGTCTACAACCATGATTGTGATACCAGGACTATTCCACCATTTGTCTACCACCATGTTCGTGGTACCAGGACTGTTCCACCATTTGTCTATAACCATGATTGTGATACCAGGAAACCACCGTTAGTCTATTACCATGATCGTGATACCAGGACTGTTCTACCATTTGTCTACCACCATGATTGTGATACCAGGACTGTTGCACCATTTGTCTACCACCATGATTGGGGTGCCAAGACTGTGTTACCTTTTATCTACCATTATGATTGTCATACCAGGACTCTTCCACCATTTGTCTATCACCATGATCATGATACCAAAACTCTTCCACCATTTGTCTACCATCATGATCGTGATACCAGGACCGTTTCACTATTTGTCTATCACCATTATCGTGATGCCAGATCTGTACCTTTCAGAGACAGCTTATTTATACCAAAGTAATTGGAAAAATGGTTTTTAAAAGTATTAATATGCTGTGTTCAAATGACCATCCCCTAAACATTTTCTTCATTAATCATCCCTGGTGGTGTCCATTATTATATTTATATCTCTCTACTGGAAATTTTCAATTTTTCCTGTATCTTTGCTTTTCCTAGTTGTCTGTTGTTGGAAAAAAAATTTCCTGCCTGCATTTTAATTTTTGCCAAAGTTAATTTTAATCTATACTATTAAAATGTTTTCTCTTAAGACTGTCAGCACATAAGGCCACAGCAAAAGAGAGAATTCACTGATTTTGAAGCCTTTTTTGATTTGTTGCTGACAAGAGACGTAGTTTTCTTAGCTGCTAATAACTATTTGAGCAGCCAGGAAAGGTCTATCAGACTAAAGACATGAAAAGCCCAGGCCATTCTCTTTGAGTTTTTTAAACTATTTCAAAAGAGAAGAGAATAGGTAGATTCCACATATGTGGACAGGAAGGAGCATACACTAAAAGCAACAGACAATTATTTCCCAAAACAGAATAGAAAACTAGATTTAAATAAACATACACCATTAAAATTTATTAAACATTTCCTCATCTCTCTAAACTTACCTGTTATATGAAAGTCAGTTCTTAATATTCCACACTGCATTGACTGTTGACATTCATAAGAACATATTTCCAAGTTTATTATTTGAAAATGCAAATGGACTGTAATTTTTTTTGCAGTAATCTTTTTAAGATTGAAGATTTTATTCAAAATAAAACCAGAGATTTTAAAGATTGAAAATGACATTAAAATTTATCTTCTCAAAATAATGATGTTTAACTGTGTATCTTCTGTTTATAGTGTAACTGTCAAGTGATCATTTAACCATTCTTTAAATATTTCAAATTACTGGGGACATGTACATACACATAATAAAGCAATGCCTACTCGGTGAGGGGCTGCCTTGTGAGCAACCCCAAGGGCCCTGGCTCATGAAGCCCTTGGCTAGAAAGGTGGAGGTATCAGCCAGGTGGGCACACAGCAGGTTTCTTGTTTGCTTCTGGCAAACACACACACAAATAGCACCTGCTCACTGGAGTCTCTGGCAACCCTGACCAGGCTTCATGATGGGTGAGGTGGGCTAGAAATGGGAAAGTGGATGACCCCAGACCTAGAGACTGCCGCTGTCACCTGGGCACCTGGAATGTGCGTGGAGGAGTCTCCCACAGATTTGGGCCTGGATCAATGCCCAAACATGCACAAGGACAGGACTCTTGGCCTGGATGTTTGCAGAGCTCCCAGTCTTCTAAAGAGGCTGGTGGTGGGGAGGAAGTTTCAACAAAACAGCAGAGTTATGGGTACTCGAGCTTGGAACAGAGAATACCTCCCTGTACTACTAAATGACAGTATCTGACGATGATGAATGACACTTGAGCAGCAGCTTTCACTGTTTCACAAGCAGTGTCTCTGGACCACTAGGTTGGTGCTGTCAGATGTTGACTGAAACAGTGGTTCAAGCCCATCCAGTCACATTAATGTTTCTAGCGGACATGACCTTCCATCTGAAGCGTCTCTTCCTTGGACCAAATATATCTTAAAACTTCTCTTCAGGCCCAGTGCTGTGGCTCACGCCTGTAATCCTAGCACTTTGGGAGGCTGAGGTGGGTGGATCACCTGAGGTCAGGAGTTTGAAACCAGCCTGGCTATCATGGTGAAACCCCATCTTATATAAACACGCACACACACACACACACACACACAAACTTGTCTCTTGTCTATTTTCCAACATGTCTCTTTGTTGCTTGGGCAAAAAAACTCCATTTTTAATCTCCCCCCAACAAACATCTTCCCTTATCTTGGTGTTTCGGGTTTTGAGTTTGTTTCCTCAGCTGCTCATATTTGGAACACTGGAAATTTCTAAAATGAAGAATGACAGAACCTGAGTCACACCTCTGGTGAAGCCACAGACTTTGGGGGAGAAATCTAATCTGCCAGGGTCTGAAGTTAAACACATGAATTTTTTGTGCCTCCATTTCTATGTCAAATGCACAAAACCAGAATACTCAGGTTGTCCAATGTTTAAATGAGCTATGCAGGAAAAGCGTGGAGCCCAATGCCTCTCACATAGTAATTGTTCAATACACATGAGCTCCTATCAGTGCCATTGCCTCCAGCATTTCCATCAGGCTTTGATCTTTTAAACATCCTTCTTGATACAAGTGGATCATTCTTCAAACCTTCTCTAACTGATGGCTGTGAAATTGCTCCAATGTGTATTATTACAAACACAGCTGCAGGGATCAGACTGACACATACATGTGTCGTGCATCCCCTGTCTACTTCTGCGCAGATACCTGGAAATGGAATGGCCAGATCAAGGTATTTATACATTTCGGATTTTGCTAATTTCTGCCCAAATTACTGTGGAAAGATGATATAACAAGTCACATTGTTAACATTTTGTGAGAATACTTTCTATCTCCTTCTTCTGGCCAAAACTGGGTAGTATTGCCTACCATTTCCTCTGAGCTTCCTTTGCCAACATTTCTGTAGTCGTTCGGCGGGGACACGTGCTATGCATGACATCAAACTCAAATCCTTAAAGAAAAAGAGGGATTAACATGACTGTACAAATTTATATTCAAAATACGATGAATAGAAATATATATGTGGATGTAAATATAAACACAAAATATATGGCAAAATGTTTTTTATTTACGATACTTCATCAAAGTTATGTATACTTCAAAATTTGTTTAGTAAAACAGCAGGCCCCATGTGTACATAATTATTCAGCTCCTTATCTCTAAATAGCTATTATTAGTCTTTGCTTTCTGAGTTTAGGCCCCATCTCTCCTTCAAATACTCTCTCATCACCACCACCCCCAAACATGCCTCTCAACACCTCACCCTCTAACATGTTCGTGTCCTGGTTTGCTGAGTCAATTACTACATTATTATAACTTGTACATTTTATTCAGAGCTCAGTCACATTGGATATACACAGCAGGAATGAAGGACCAGTATCTTCCAGGTCTCTCTCTCAAGTGGATGAGCTTCAGAGATTCATGTAGTCTTTGGCCACCCTGCCTGTCTTCTATTCCAGGTAAGTACTGGATATGATGGCCCAGCTCAGATCAGGCACTCTCTCCGTGAGCAGGGGAGGGCGGGACATCTTCATGTGCAGTAGCAGAAAGACACTGTCCAAAGAGGGAGAGGCAGTTCTACAAAAAAAAGGTCAGTCTGGGTCATGGGCAGGCAAACAGAGGATGTGAAGAAAACTGTCTGTTCTGTGAGGGGAACATGCAGTAGAGGATTGATTCAGAGTGGGAGGAAAAGAGTTTTTGGAAATATGGGCCGTGGATATTCCTGTGTGAGCTGGAGCCACACGTGACTGTTAGGTACTTACAGGGAGCTTAGGAGAATCTGCACTCCCCAACCTGGGAGACAGGTGAGGGGACTGTCCTGGTCACCAGACAGAGATAGGGTCTGGTCCAAGCAGTTCTGATGGGAAAGAAATGACAGGACATCTTCTCCTTAAGGTAAGGTCCTGAGTTCAGGTCTTGGTAGGGAGGGAGGCTGCCTTGGGCATTGGCAGCTGCAGATAGTTGGCCAGAGGAGGGCACTGAAATCTAGGTGCTATCACCTTGTGGTTCTAGTAAAAGAATCGCTGTATGAAGCATCCTGAGGAAGAGGACGTGGAGGACCTGACTTGGGGTGGGGGCTCCAAGAGGAGTGTCTGCCTTGCTGTGCAGAAGCCTGCTTCATAACCTTTCTGGTTCTCTTGCTCGGTCTCCTGGCCAGACTGCCAACAGACCCCAGTGTGTGATGCTCCCCTCTCTGCGTCCATGTGTTCTCATTATTGAACACCAGCCTATAAGTGGGAACAGGCAGTGTGTGATTTTCTGTTCTTGTGTCAGTTTGCTGAGAATTATGGTTTCCAGATTCATCCATGTCCCTACAAAGGACATGAACTCATCATTTCCTATGGCTGCATAGTATTCCAGGGTGTGTATGTGCCACATTTTCCTTGTCCAGTCTATCGTTGATGGGCATTTGGGTTGGTTCCAGGTCTTTGCTGTTGTAAACAGTGCCGGAATGAACATATGTGTGCATGTGTCTTTATAACAGAATGATTTATCATCCTTTGGGCATATACCAAGTAATGGGATTGCTGGGTCAAATGGAATTTCTATTTCTAGGTCCTTGAGGAAGCGCACACTGTCTTCCACAATGGTTGAATTAGTTTACATTCCCACCATCAGTGTAAAATTGCATCAAGAAGAACTAAGGATCCTAAATACATATGCACCCAACACAGGAGCACCCAGGTACATAAAGCAAGTTCTTAACGACCTACAAAGATACTTAGACTCCCACACAATAATAGTGGGAGACTTTAACACTTCACTGTCAATACTAGACAGATCAACAAGACAGAAAATTAACAAGGATATCCAGGACTTGAACTCAGATCTGGACCAAGCAGACCTAATAAACATCTACAGAAATCTCCACCTCAAATCCACAGAGTATACATTCTTCTCAGCACCACATGGCACTTATTCTAAAATTGACCACATAACTGGAAGTAAATCACTCCTCAGCAAATGCAAAAAAACAGAAATCATAACAAACAGTCTCTCAGACCACAGTGCAATCAAATTAGAACTTAGAATTAAGAAACTAACTCAGTGTCCACATGTGGTTATGAACACGTCCTAGATGAGATTCAGAAATTCCTGTCTAGAGTCGGCTCCTACCTGGCTGTGTGACCTCAAGCAAGTTTCTTCCCTTCTCTGTGGGCCTCAGTTACAACACAGGGGCTGCCTTCTGTCCTTCATTCAGTGGTTCTACAACAGAATCTGCTGATAGTCTAGGAGGAATCCCTAATTATCACAGGAATATTGGTTCAGGGTATCTCTGGTGCTAGAGGAGATCACTAGTCACAGTAGAGAGATATCTCACTGAGTCCAACATTCCTGTGCCCTCCCTCTCTTCAGTGCGTGGCTTCTGATTTCTTCCTACTTCTTGTCCCCAGAAGGGGGGGACCCAGATTTGGCCTTTAGATCATCCCCAGTCCCTGATCAGGAAAGGGTTCTAGGATGACAGGAGACCCAGAGCATGATGTAGGACAGCAACACGTCTCTTTGGGCACCTCCCCTTCTAATCCCCGATCTGGGCTAAAATCTGAGGCCGGTTCTCACGTGAAGAGGCCCAGCCTCAAACGCATAGTGAATGTTAGGATTCATGGGTGTGGGTGCTCTGAGGGATCTGAGAGATAATCTAGTATACAGTTCCTGACTGTCCTCATGGTAAATCCCAAAACAAGCTAACCAGGGCCACGACAGAGGACTTTTTTGTTTTATTTCATTTTTAAGAGACAGGATCTCCAGTGCAGTGGCATGATCATAGCTCACTGCAGCCTTGAACTCATGGCTCAAGCATTTCTCCTGCCTCAGCCTCTGGAGTAGCTAGAATTACATGAGCCACTGCACCTAGCTTACAGAGAACTTTTAAAGATTAGCAGATCTTTCTAAGGAGAGCAGCCCATTAGGCTGTATGACACAGGTATTCAATTGCATTCTGGCAGGGGCCAGACTCCATGACCTGCTTTAGTACTTTCTGCCTTGGAGATGATTCTCTCTGCCTATTACCCTGGACTAGTTTTCCACGAATCCAGAAGACTTTGATTATATGAGCTTGTATATGCAAAGAGATACATGCAAGGGACGTTCTAGGAGCATTTGGGATAACCCTGTGAGTCATCCTGGCACTTGCACCAGTCATCTGACTTCTCCATGCCTTGCCTTCCCAGCCTATACAATGG